CCCTGTGGCAGAGAGAGAGAGAGAGAGAGAGAGAGAGAGAGAGAAAGAGACAGACAGACACAGACCCAGAGACAGAGAAACAGAGAGAAGAGAGAAAAGGGAAAGAAAGGGGTTAGGGGATGTGTCCGCCAGTCTCTTGTCTGGGGGTGGGGGGTGGGCAGAGGTCATTGGAGCGGGGGTTTGGCTTGGAGAGGCTTTGCCTTCCCTGGGAACTTTCTACAGGTCAGGCCTGGTTTGGGTCACGACCAGAGTCCCAAGGACCAGTTTGGAGGGACTGAAGCCTGGACCCGAGTGAGTGGGCGGCATGGAGAAGCCTGGCTGGAGGCCTGAGGACAGAGTGGCCTCGTGGTGAGGCCTGGGCAGGGCTGCTTTGGCTGTGGGATCTCGAGGCTGAACCACATAGGCAGGGGCCTCTCCTGGCCCCAGAGCCCTCACTGGGCATGAAGAAGGAGAAACACCTGTCCCTGTGATGAGGCTGGGCGAGCAGGCCTGCCACCTCGCTGTGCTGCCCACTCTCTGCCAACCCTTGTCTGTCCCCAGAGAGAAGCCTTCCGACACCATGCCTGGCCCTGCCCTTCCGGGCCTGAGCACGCCAGCACACACGTGCACACGTACTCACAAGACTGCCGGCACACATACAGGGCCAGGACTTCCTCCACTTCCCACCAGCAGGGCTCTGGGCTCAACCCACAGCCCCTCGGCTGAGGGCACAAGAAAACTAGGTAAGGAACAGCCAGAAACACAGAAATGGAGGGGAGGAGACTCTGGGAAAGGCCGTTGACATGGGTGCCGGAACCCTGACCCCTGCCCGGGCTGCAAGGGCCTCTCACGCCTTCAGGCCAGAGGCGCACCTGGTGGCCCAGGGTCACAGCCAGCCACATGGAACTGCTCACCCAGACCATGGACTACTACGCAGCAACAAAAAGACACGAGCGAGCCATAGGTGTGCTCAGTGGGCACGGGGAAATGCAAGGAGGGCATGAGGAGCCGCGGCAGGTGGATCGGGCAGTTGGGGGAGGGCTTTTAGAGGGCGACGGTGTTGGTTTGAAGGGAGGTCTTAGCTGCCAAGAAGCAGAGGAACCCTCGAGTGAAAAGGGAGAGCGGGTGCTTCTTTGGGAGAGACACTGGCTGGGGGCTGGGAAGAGTCTGGAATCCAGAGGCTTTGGGGGAGGGGGTGGGAGAAGAGATGTGTATGAGGAGAGGGAGTGAATTAGGCCAACAGAGAATCCAGTCCCACAGGCTGGAGGCTTTATGATCCTACTTATACAACATTCTCGAAATGACAAAGTTATAGAAATGGAGAAAAGATCACCGCTTAGCGGTTGCCGTGCCACAGGGTGGGGAGGGGGTGTGGTACGGAGGTGGTGTCGCTATAAAAAGGCAACAGCGGGGAAGGCTTGGGGTGGAAGGGTTCTGCACGCGACTGCCAGTGGCCACACCCAGCTGTGCCGGTACCATTGGGGTAAAGGGTGCTCTCTGTATTATTTCCTACAACTACATGTCAATCTGCAATTATCTCCAAATAAATGGTTCAATAAGTGAATTGCAGCTATAGAAATCAGGAAGGTCAGTGTTAGGTCTTTAAAAACCAGAGGACGCTGGTCTTACATGTCTCCGTGTAACAGTCCCATGTCCCCACATTTACACTTGGCACCTGCCCCTATCGGCATTACCTGGTGGACTCCCCACACCTTGAGTCCTGCATATTTGGTCTCTGTAAGATTCTGTTGGACAGAAGGGGCCCACTGCTAACATATTTGAAACCACCCTAATGCCAAGAGGAGCCTAGGCCCAGAGACATCGTGAATGGCCTAAGCCGCCTGGAGACTCAGCATCGGAACCGCCCTCCACGCACCAGCCTCTCCGAGGTCAAGAGAAGGGGTAAGACAGCACGGGCAGAGGCCCCGCCGCCAGGCCACACAGCCCTGCCAACAGCACCAGAGACCACCCGGAGAGCCACCAGGCCGCAGCTGCAGCGCAGCCAGCTCCACTGCACAGCCAGCCGCCCTGCCCAGCCAGCCTCCCTGCCCAGCCAGCTCCACTGCCCAGCCAGCCGCACTGCCCAGCCAGCTCCACTGCCCAGCCAGCCGCACTACACAGCCAGCCGCACTGCCCAGCCAGCTCCACTGCCCAGCCAGCCACACTGCACAGCCAGCCGCACTGCACAGCCAGCCGCACTGCCCAGCCGGCCGCCCTGCCCAGCCAGGCCTGTGGCCGCTGCATCAGCTCAGGGACAGCGCAGGGAGCCAGGGAGCGCCTGAGTCTAGGGAGCCTGTTCTGCTTGGAGCCGTTTGGAAATCCACAGGCAGCCAGACAGGAGTGGGGAGAGAAGGAAAAGGAGAGGGGAGGGAGGAAGGAAGGGAGAGGGGTCCCAGACGCCCATAAGGGCTGCTCAGGGGGCATCGAGGCTGTCCTGGTCTCTCCAGCTGTGGCTTTCAAACGTGCTAGGCTGGCAGAGCACCAAGGACCAACATGTCCACAAAATGCAGGTAATTTCGTTGCCGATAGCTGCCCACTGCTCCTCACGAGGGCTCCCTTTGAGGGAGGGCCCTGAGCCAGGTGTGCACGGAGGAGCCGAGTGCTCCCAGGGAGGGAGGACCCTGTGGGGAGGGAGGACACTTCGGAGTCCTGGGCTGTTGGGAGGGCCAGGTGAGGAGAGGAAAAGGAACCCCGAATGGGCTTGGAGAAGGGACGGGGGAGGTCACGGTGCTTGTGGAGGGGTGTGCAAGGCAACCCTCCCCTTCACCTCCTGTGAGCTCATCACTACAATCAGCCTGATTCCTTCACCTGGGGACTTGGCGAGGAAGGCCCTTTACAGGGAGCATTAGGTGAGCACAGAGGCTTGGAGATAGTTGTGCCACCGGGTGGGGACCAGGGATCTCTACACATTGAGGTCCTCTGAGGTGGTTATGCCAGAGGAATCCCAATTCCTCACAATTCCGGCCCTGCCTGGACGAAGCCCCATCAGGGCTGCCTCGCAGGGACCTGCCTCCCACGGCCCCAGAGAGGCTGGCAACTTCTCTGAGGTTAGAGGTTCGGCTTCCGGGTGGAGGCCCGTTGGTGCTGCTCTCCCAGAGGCGCTGGGCGCCCGGCACTGCCCGCCTGCAGGGAGGTGCCTGCCTGCTGCTGGGGCTGAGCAGGCTTTCTACAGAACCAGGCAGGACCAGCTTCAGCAGGTGCTTCTGAAAGCCAGGATGGGGCCAACGATGAGGCCTGGGGCCACCCTAAATACTGCCTTTTGTGTCTCCTCACTCAATAACTTCTCAGTGTCTAAAAATATCCCAGGGAAAGACAAAAGACAGGAGTTCCTGTAATCTGCCACCACCAGTGCCCTCCTGCCTCCTAAACGGCGTCCAGTTAATGCGGTGCAAGCAGAGAGTGGCCTGCGGGAGGAGCGACGAGTGGCCAGAAGTACACCAGAGGGGGCAGGGGCCAGAGGCAGGGCTGCCTCATGGGAGGGAGAGCAGGCCCCCCTGCCAGCTTCTTGTTGGAAGGAACCTGGGGACATTAAAGCTGTTTGTTTTGTGTGTGGGGGGGGGGGGCGAGGGGGTGCTGTGAAGCGCTTATCAAGTCTCAGGTAAGGCTAAGCGCCCGCATCTACTAGTATGTGGGTGGCTTCAAAGAGGAGGTGGGACAAACACGGAAACAGCACACAGGAGCAGTGGGACATAGGACAGGGTGAGCTGACAGCTCAGTCACACTTAAAACAGCTGGATACTGGTCCTGGCCGGGTAGCTCAGTTGGTTTGAGCCTCATCCCCATACGCCAAGGTTGTGGGTTCAATCCCCAGTCAGGGCACATACAAGAATCAACAGATGAATGCATTTAAGTAAGTGGAAAAACATCCACCCCCCGCCACCCGCCGCGCCTCAACCCAATAAATAAAAAATTAAAAAATACAGCTAGATACTAACTCTTGAGCTAAATCAAACATCATCTCATTCCAGGCGCAGATGGCACGTCACAGGCACTGACAGGCAGGACCCGCCATGGGAGCTGCACGCTGCTGTCAGCAGGCCTAGAGGGACCTTTAGGCTTGGAAGCCCAGCCAAAGAGTGGGAGCATTCGGATCAGCAGCAACAGGTTCAGAAAGCAAGTCCACACCAACTCCAGCGGCCCGAGTTCCACGCCCGCACACCCTGTGGCCACGCCAGCAGGTTAGCAAGGACAGAAAGCTTGGCCCAGAGTGGAAGGCGGCTCTGAGCCCCAGCCTCCCACAGAAGCCACGCAGGGTGCACTTCCAGGGTGGATTCTCTCAGGAAGAACATGCAGGTGACATTTGCATCCAAAGTACAGTACAGCACAGTCACACTGGGCTCGATGCCCATCATGGAAGACCCTAGTGGGTTCCAGTGGGTGCCTGGGCAGTGTGCCCCCTCATGCCATGGTCCATGAGCACCTGACAGACAGGTGGCAGGTTAGTGGCTGTGGCCTCAGACCTGCCTGTGTTTCAGAACCATATCTTGACCTTGAGACACCTAGTCCTGCACAAGCTCCTCCTCATGCCCAGGGCTTGTCCTTCCTTACAGCAGCTGCTGTATTTTGAGCAATTTACAGAACTGATACCTCACGGTCTGGACAAGTGAGTCCAGGGCTCAGCACCCATGCCCAGCACAGCCCTCCTGGTGCCTGCTTCCTGGCGCCTAGCCTCCAGACTCACAGGGTGTGCAGGCAAGGCAGCTGGCTCGGTGCCCCACAGGGAGAGATGCCCTCGTTCTCAACAGCCTAGCAAAGGCCAAAGCAGCCCTGCCCCCGGTCCTGGACAGACCAGGAGAGCCCAAGTCCTCACGCCTGGGCCCAGGGGATAGAGACTCAGCTCCAGGCACCCACCTCACTGACCTGAACAAAGGCCCCTGAATCTGCTGAAGCCCCTTAGGGGCCAGGTGTTTCCAAATACACGAACTTGAGAGGTGCCTTCCATAAGTCATGTGACCTGGGGGCTGCCGGGAGGGGTGGGATTAGGAGGGGCAAGGCCACAGAGCCTGAGTCCAGGCGCTTACCTTGACCTTCGCAAAGCTTCTTCATCAGGGTCTTGCACTGTGGGTAGAAAGTTGCTGGTCAGGAGGAAAATCGGGAGCACAAGAGAGAAAAGCTACCAGAGCTCTGTGGACACTGAGTCCCTACCCATGACTGGACATGACCTCTCCCAGCCCATAAACTAGGAAGGGAAAGGCTGTGTGCTGGGCAGAGGGCAGCTGGGTGCGAGTGGTCAGAGGCGTGGCCAGCTCTTGGGCAGTCATTTTGCCTGGAAACACCATGCAAGCCTGCTGCCCATTGTTTTGTCAGGGCGCTGAGCAGAAGGCTCATGTCACTTGCCTGCCCCAGAGCCCAGAAGGGCTCCAAGGGCCGCTGTTCATCTCAAGGCCAGCTCAGCTTAAGGGGGTCAGGGGCTCGACTCCCTGGCTTCTGTGGACTGTGGAGTGGGACCCAGGACCCCGTGGCCCCGCAGCACCTCCCCTTTCTGCCTGCCCCCAGCCCCACTCACTGTACTCAGTTCCTGTCATCTGGGCCAGGATGCGGAAGGAGCGAGACTGAAGGTTGGAGGAGCGGCGGGCCCACTCATCAGCCTCATCTTCCGGCTTGTTCTGGTTCTTAATCACAGCCTGGTACACGGGAGAGGCGCTGTCCACAGCGAGGTCTTTAACGGGAAGGCTCCTGCAATGCAGAGCGACCGGTGGGCGAGGGCTGGGCTGGGGCCTGCTCCCTACCTCCTCCCCTCCCCCACACTGACTCCCGGGCACCCCCCGCGGTGGCCCCTACTTGTCTGAACCCACCATGCCCTTTCCCCACTGCCCTCTGAGAGCCTGGGGCAGGGCTCAGCTGGGTGCTCAGTGCTCAGGGTGGTCACAATTAGACAGTGATTCCTCTCACAGAGGGTCAGGAGGCGCAGGTCCTCCAGCCAGCACCCCCCCCCGCCCCCGCAAGCTGCAGGCACAGACCTGAGGACATCCCACCTTTAAGGAGATAGGAGGCAGGAGACATCTTCTAGAAGTAATTTCCAGCGCCCTGAGCAGGCCCTGAGTTTGGGGCTAAGTGAGGACAAGCCAATCGGGACCCTCCCCCCACCCCCCTCAGTGCCGTGACTGCCTTAGGAGAGGACTGAAGGCTGTGACTTGGCTACACACAGGCAGGCACAATAGGGTGGGGTGGGGTGGGGTGGGGATGAGAAACACAGCAAGGAGGCCATGTGGGGGTATCACCTGCAGATAGCAGGCTCTGCCCTGGGGGCGCTGGGAGTGGAGCTGCAGGAGGGTTCCTAGTCTCTGCCCCAGCCTATTGAGTGGGACCTGGTGGCCTTCCCTTGCCTTAGACTCCCAGGACCTGGCACATAGTAGGTGCTCAAAATGTAGTTGGATAAATTAATCCTATATCGGAGCCAAAAGGGCCCCCAGAGCCGCTTGGGTTCAGTGCCTCCCAGACTGCAGGGCAGGGTAGATCCAGAGCTTTCTGGGTGCCCACTCACCCTGCCCAGCCTGCGTGACTCAGGTGGAGCTCACAGCACTAACGCCTGCCTCCCCAGCCGGCGGCCCAGCCCAGGCACGTGCTGATGCTGAAACAGCTCCAGCGAGACCAGAAGACCAGCTCCCGGTGACAGCGTGTGGGGCCCCAACAGAGTCAGAGCCAGGCTTCCCGGCTCCCAGCCGTGTCCTTTCCATCAGACCTCACAGTGACAGGGCTCGGAAGGCCACTTCTGTGCACTGGGCCTCAGACACCCCAGACGCTCTAGGCCTAGAAAGGCCCAGCCCAGACACCGGCCCTGTCGGCACGCCCTGCCTGCCTCTCAGGCTGCCTCTCCCTGCACCCCCAGCGCCTCCTCAGTTCCCACATCATCTACCCTCTGGGCAAGGAGCCCTCCAGCACTGATCTTGTCTCCCATGAGCCTCTGGGCTTGGCACCCTGTGTCTGGGTCTGGGTGGGCTACAGCTGCAGGTAAAGACAGGTGACAACAGGAGGCAGAGACGGGCAGAGCTGCCTCCTTGCCTGAAGGCTGTGCCCTGGCCAGGGAGCTACAGGTTGGGGTCCATGGGGAAGACCAGTGAATCCCTCGGGGTCCAGGCAGGGAGGAGCCCGTCGGACCAGGAACAGAGGAGGGTGGGGTCTCGCTGGGGGTGCCATTTCCAGCACAGGCAGATGTCCCAAGGGTCTCAAAGCAGAGGCTGGGCCTACTGTCTTTGGTGAGGCGGGTGATGGGAAGGCACAATCAGGGCGCCTTGTTCTACCGGGAGGAAGTGTGGACTGTGCTGTGGGCCAGGGGTGCAGACCCAGGCCAGGCCTCTCCTGTGAGCCTGCCCACAGTGAAATCTGTGCCAGGAAGCAGCTGGACACCTTTGCTGCAGTCTCCCCAGAACGACCCCTGAGGTGCTCCCCGTCCTCCCTGAGCTCCCAGGGCTCCAGGCTGCTGGGAACGTGTCGCTGGGGCTTCCGTCCTCGGCCCCTTCCTACCACCTGTGCGGAGACCGGGCGAGCCTGCAGCAGAGCCGGGAGCCCGCGAGGGCACTCAGCGCCTCGTTAGGACCGGGGCTCAGAATAATAGACGCAGAGAGCAGAACAGGCCCCACGTCCTGGGACCCTGGGTCTGAGGCTGTTCTCTGGAGCCCCTCCCAGCACGACCTTCTTGCCACCAAAAACACTCCAGAGACCGAAAGTTAAGGTCACCCTGGGGCATTGACCCCACTCACACTGCCCTCAAGCCTGACTCATCGTTGGCCCCCTTGGGTGGTCTTGGCAAGCGCTGGCTCCTTCAGGTCCAGGTTCTGGGGTCTGGGGAGGGGCCTCTAAGAGGCCCCCTTACCACCCTCTGCCCTGAGTCATGGCCAGTGTGGATGCTGAACGGCAGGCCTACAATCTCCCAGTGCAGACAGAAAGGGCCGGGGAGCCCCGCGAAGCATGGCAAGGAGAACACAGAGACCCCAGCCTGGGGCCAGCATGAGTGCTTTTAACTCTCATCTGTGTCCATAGTGACATTATTCGGGACAAACCCTCAAAGACAAGCCTGTACAGGCTGCAGGGCATGTCATGTGGCTGTGAGGTAGGCGTGAGGAGAACACAGACAGAGGCACTGTCCTCAGGCACAGCCCACCAAACCCACACACCGTCCCACAACCAGACAGACGGACGACGGAACAGACACTGTGGGGTCTACTTACGCCAGCGGCGACGCCCTGCCAAGCAGAGGGAAGCCCAGCAGTGAGTGTGTGTCCATCGGGGGGTGGCAGGGGCGGCGCACACAGGGGAGCAGGGTTGGGATCAGAAATGAATTATGGGAGTGGGATGGATGAAGGAGGAAGAGAGAGACAAAAAGAAAACTGTCAGTGAGGAAGGCATCATGGGAACTCACACAGAAACGGAGCGCCGTAGGCACCGGCACCGAGGGCGGCTCTCCCCACGCGCACCAGCCCCGCAGGCTGCGTTAGGAGGAGGGGAGTGCACGGTGCTTCCCAGGCACACAGGGCAGGGCAGGGCAGGGCAGGGCAGGGCGGGGCGGGGCGGGGCTGGGAGAGGTAGCAGGGAGATGAGAACAGTCCTTCCAGAGACCAGATAAGGTCAACGGTGCATCATGTTAAAAAGACCAAACAATAGCATTCTTTTCCCAAGCGCAGAAAATCAAGTTCTTTTGCAGAGTCGTTCTTCCATTATCTGCCACTGAGCTTCCCCTTGGCGACGGTGACCACCCTTAGGAGCACACCAAGGACACACCTGCCACGTTCTGGGGCAAACAAGTGTGAGCAGGAAACCCCTGTCATCCCTTCGGCTTAGCCAGGCAGGTTTTTTCTGGGTTCACATGAGATAAAGGTTGTGTTTTTAAAATTGCATTGTCACTGTTTCTGCTTCAAGCCATGGAATTAAATCAACACTGTCTAGAGTTCTGCCTGAGCCAGGCCAGTTTGAGACCCACAGCTCCAGGGCGAGCAGCTTCCGCCCCCCTGGTGGCCCCAGGAAGCACCGCCTCCGAGGCCGGGCTCCCCTCTCTGCCCCGAAGCCTGCGCTCAGAGCATGGCAGCGTTCTGCAAAGGCCAAACACTATTGGAGTTTTCTGGGACTTTTTAACCCCTTTATCCCTCTTACAACATTTGTTTTTCTTAGTTTCAGAAAAAAAGTACATCATTTTAAGACTTTTTTTTTGCCTTGAGTTGCTGGGGATACTGAGTCAGGGATAAGATGTTGGCCAAAGAGATAGTCAGTTCTGAAAATCAACACTCACGTCATTCCCAAGCAGAAAACAGTCACTCTGTGTGTGTGCGCGTGTGAGACAAGAGAAAGACAGAGAGAGGCAGAGAGTAGAGAGTGAAAGAGGCAGAAGCACACACAGAAAAAGAGGAAGAGAAACTAAGGGAGACAGACCGAAAGACAAAAAGAGGAAGAGGTCCCACCCAGCCAGTGTGGCTCAGTGGTTGAGCCTCGACCTGTGAACCAGGAGGTCATGGTTCAATTCCCAGTCAAGGGCACATGCTGGAGTTGCAGGCTCGATCCCCAGTAGGGGGTGTGCAGGAGGCAGCTGATCAATGATCCTTTCTCATCATTAATGTCTCTCTCTGTCCCTCTCCCTTCCTCTCTGAAATCAATAAAAATATATTTTTTTTAAAAAGAGGAAGAGGTCCCCATTAATGTTTGCACTATTAGCAGTTTCATCCACAAATGATTTTCAGCCAACTCTTCCCTATTTAGCCCTCAAGTGGAGAAGAGGCAAATTCCAGGGACCCCGATGCCCTCAGCCCCTCGGCCCTGGGGTCAGGCTGCCTGGGCAGCCAGGAGGAGCAGGAGCCCAGCCTGGGGCTCCAGGCTCCACAGCCCTTCCTACACAAGAAGCCAGTCACACATTTGAATCGCTCTCATCTTTGGAAGAATGCAGCAACTTCCCTCCACAGAGAGGCTCAGTGAGGGAAGACTGGGGTATCCAGAACGAGAGTGTGACTCAGGTTAACGAGATTCCAGAGGTCTCTTTCTAACCCAGCCCCACGGGGCCCGGGAAAGGCAGAGGCTGTGACAGCACGTGGAGGAGTCGCCATACTCTGCGTTTCTCCCCTTCTCCTACAGCTGGCCCAGAGATTAATTCTGAGGAGAGGACACCATGTTCTGGGCCCCTGGGCTGTGCCCGGGAAGCCAAGGCCAAGGAGGAAAGCTGGGTCTTGATGCCTAAGGTCTCTGCTGGTGCCGGCAGCCTGGCACCCTCAGCCTCGCGGGATGAGGCCCAGCCAGCAGCTGAGGTGGTGAGCCGTGAGCCACTGCGGAGGGAGGGCGCTTACCCACTGAAGTCACTGCCCTGGGCCTGGGCCTGCCCAGCAATGGCGTCCATGATGGCGTCCTGGGAGTACATGCTGATGGGCGTGTTGTACTGTGCGTGGATGATGGTGGCCTTGCCGCCCAGCCCCTTCACCTCGATGGGCTTGTGGGTGGACAGGGCCGAGTCCTTCAGGGCATTGGGGTTGAAGCGCTCCTGGTAGTCCGCACTAGGGGGAGCAGGGGGTGCAGGGGGGGGAAGGTGGGGGGAGAGAAGGGCCAACAGGTGGAGTTACCCTGGGCCCATCCAGGGAGGGCTGTGGAGGTGTCAAGAGAGACCTCCCAAAGTCTGATCCCGGGTCAGGTCGGAAATCCTCACACCTCCCCAAAGCCCTCTGCAGAGGCTGTTCTTGCCCATCTGGGCTTCCCCCATCCCTGGAGGTCCCTGCTCAGGCGAGCCACCGCCCAGGGCCAGCAGGGGGCGCCAGGCGTTGGAAGCTCTCACCACACCAGCCGGGAAGCAGAGACAAAATGGGTTGGGGAGAGGGGCTTGGGAGTGTGGCACAGGCGCTGGGCCACGGGGCCAGGCAGCAGCAGCCCAAGCAGAGTCCAGGACGGCCAAAGGCGAAAAGCAGCCCCGCTGGGCAGCCATGGAGATGGTGGCCTCGTTCCTCTGCCGCGGACCTCATCCTGCCAGCCGCCCCCTGGTGGCCAGCGTTCTGCTCCTCCGGATGCTTCGGGCGAGCTTCTTCCTCAGAGCAGGGCTCTGCTCAGGCCCCCTCATGTCCCGCCTGCTGTGTGGTCACCAGTCTACCCAACAGGGCTCTCCCCTCGACAGGCAGGTGCTCCCCAGGCAAACACAAGGTCAGGGGCAGCCCCCTGAGGGTCCCACCAGGACAGAGATCTTCAGGCTCAGGAAGAACCCAGGTCAGGCGGCGCTCCCCCGCCCCAGAGCCGCCTGCTGGCCTTGGGCAGCTGCCCGAGATGGAGAACTGCACGCAGGGTGTCAGGCCGAGCCCTAGCACCCCTCCCTGCGCTTCCCTCCACACTCGCGGCTTCACACATGCAGGCGCACTCGAGACAAATGCACCCCCTCGCACGCATGCACACACACGGACACATGCTGGCACAGGCACATGTGGTCCAGACCGACGCATGCTGGGATATGCACGCAAGAGCACACACATGCTTTCCTTCGATACTAACTTGGCTGGAGAGTTGGCTATCACCTGGGAGGAGAGAAAGAGCAGGGAAGAGGGCTGTCAGGGCGGCTGGGCCAGGAGGCTCGGCCAGGGCCAGGGCCAGGGCCAGGGCCCGCGGCGGGGCAGAGCCACAGAGAGTGCCGAGAGGGGCGCAGAGCTGAGTCCCACAGCGGCTTTCCTCGGGGGGTCTCTAGTACCCAAAGCTTTGCCAAGAAGTGTTCTGGTCCATCTTTAAGGGCACATGTACATGCAGCCCCCACACAGCCTGGCGGAGACCCTTAGCTGCCGCTGCCAAGGCCCAGGCACCTCCTGGCCAGACAGCAGCTCTGGACGTGCCCTTGTTCAGTGGGGGCTCTGGGAGCTCTGCTCCCTGGGCAGGAGTTGCATGGTGCTAGGGTGTATGTGAGGTGGGGTGACCCACAGCCCCAGGGACCTGCTCTCCCTCTGAGGGGAGGGGCAGGCAGCGGTGGCCACTCCTGGGCACAGGGGTGGGGGTCTGTGCGGGCTCCAGTGACAGCTCCTAAAGGCCCTGGATGGGCAACAGGCAGGACGAGGAGCAAGGAGGCTCAGAAGTCTGGCTCCAAGCAGGAAAGCCTCAGGCAGGCAGCCCGTCTCGGGTACACAGAGGCCTCGGCCCCCTCCTCTGAGTGAGCCTCCGGAGCACCCTCTCCTTGGGGGAGCATTGCCTGCATTCATCCCTTTGAGCACAAATTCCTCGCCCCAGCAGATCCTGCCGCTATCTGAGGCCTGGAGGGGTGAGGGCGGAAGAGTGCATGTAGCCTCCTTGCCCCAAACTCTGCCAGCGTCTCAGATCTGACCACGGTGGGCTCTGACAGGGGAGCCTGGGCCCCAGCTGGCCTGGCTCTGCTCATCCTTTGGCCCAGACCCTGGGGATCCAGGCAGAGCCAGGGCCCCTGAGCAGCCTCGCCATGGCCCTGCTCAGCCTCAAGTCCATGTGTCAGAGCTGATAAAATGTCCTCTGTCCTCCCAGTCTCAAAATAGCTGCCAGTGGCGCTATATTAGGAGAGGCCAGCACAGAGCTCCCATCCCCTCTCCATCTTTGGCCAGTGCCGACAGCTGCAGGGTCAGCTCTTGCCCTGACCAGCGTGCCCCCTGCAAAGGGCAGCCTTGACCTCTGGGGCTGCCTCTGCCCTGCCTGGGCAGCCAGCTCCTTCTTGGGCATTGATTCCTGCCCCCTGCTTAGCTCCCGTCTGGGGGCTGGGAGGCCTGCAGCAGACATAACTCAGAGGCCCCAGAGCTGAAGGACCTGCCCGGGGCCCTCACAGCAGGTGGCCTGGCGGACACTGCCTCCAGTCCAGCCCCAGAGAGAACAAGAAGGGGTGCAGGGATGCTCAGGCCCACTGTCCCTGTACCCCATTCGTCTTCTCACGCCTCCCAGGATAGACGCTGCCAGGAAAACACACTGCAAACTGCTCAGAGAGAGAGAAGGAGAGAGAGTTGGGGAAGGAACTTCCTTTTAAAGCCAGACTGGACAGAGTCCAAATCTTGGCCCTGCCTCTTCCCAGCACTGACTGGGCAAGTCACCTGCCTCCGCCTCCTCCTTCGTGAAAGGGAGGTGGCAGCGCCTGCCGCACAGACGGCTGTGCAGACTGAACGGAACACCGAGAGGAGAGCCTTGGGTGGGCTCCGTGTCCAGTGGGCGGACTCGGAGCATCTGGACACTTAGGAAGGCAGCGCCTCGGCCCAGCAGAGGCTGCCCAGGCTGGCAGCTCGCAGGCTCCGCCCTGCCTGTGGCCCTGCCCGGGCAGCAGCACTGGCCTTCCTCTGGAGGAAGCGCTCCCTCCCCAGCCGGCTTCCCTTGGAGGACACGCTGGCCTCTGGTGCTCTGAGTGGTGCCAAGTTATACTGTAATACTTGTCAGGTTCCCAGAAGTCCCTGTGCCCAGAGGAGGGCACCTTGGGAGTCATGGGAAAAGGGGGTGGGGCTGGCCTTGACTTCCCGGGACAGGTAGGTGGGTCCCTGTGGCCATGCAGGGGAGGAGTCAAGTCGACCCAGGTGCCAGTCCTATCTGCCACTCATTAGCTGTGTGACCTGGGGCGAATGACTCACGCTCTCTGGGCGTCTAGTCCCAGCGGTACAGCGGCGGCGGCGGGGGGGGGGGGGGGGGGTGCCGCCCCGGGGCCGGAAAAATTCTTTCTCTTAAAGGGGTAAAAAAAAAA